GTAATGTAATGTAATTTGGCTTTTATTTGATTATTACATAAGTTAGATGCACATCTCAGATCTTCAATATTGATTAAACATGAAAGACTGCAGTGAAATCCTTACATTTAAATTCATAATATTGTGAGATTCAGGTAGGGAACATGCAGAGCTGCAAAAAATAAAAAATAAAATAATAATAATAATAATAATAATAATAATAATAATAATGCCATAGGAAAATACACAGTCAAGGGCAGATGGTGACAATACAAGGCCACAGAGGGAGAATATATTACAACCATGGCACAAGACAACACAAAGGGGACACCAATATGTAAATTTTTATTAAAAAAAAAAAATGTACAATTTTGAAGGTAAAATGAGAGAACACGTGAAGCCAGTTAAAATTGTCTTCACATAAGTTTACATGAAAACCTTGTTCTCAATTTTTTTACTATACAATTGCTTTTGGCCATTGATAAACTTCTTCACCTTTATGAGCATGTGATTAATCAGTGTTTGATGCTAACGTTTGGACTCTCCTCCTCAGATGAAAATGTCTGGATCTGATGTCATAAATCAGCACAGCAACAGCAGCCACGCCCACCAGAGCAGAGAGGACCAAGCGAATAACAGCTTCAATAACACCAAAGCGGTGAGTATGTTCTGATGACAGAAACAAAGATAACAGAAAAATGAATGATTCTATATGCGAATAAAATACTGCTATTATTCTCATTACTGAAGTACCTGGACATGGTTGACAGAGTGTGCTGATGTTCAGATCTGTGGTCTGGTTGCTGATGGGGTTATAGACCACACAACTGTAGGTGTTTTTATCCTGATATTCCACCTCTAGAGGTAGAGAAAGACTGATGCTGAGATTAGACACACTGATGCTGGAGAGTAAACTGTTTCCTTTGTACCAGGAGAGACTCACAGTGCTCACATTCACCACTGAACACAACACTGAACAGTACTGCACTGATGAAGAACAGTCTCTGTTGATGACAGGAGCAGCCAGATGAGCTGCACAAAATTAGTTAATTAATAAGTGAATAACTCAGCAGTACATTAGAACTGTGATGGATGTTGATATTTAAAATGAAATTAAAGTGTTGATGAATTACTGTATTAGATATATTATTAATAGTGTAGACATCTTCTATAATTGTATTATATTCTCAGTAATAATGGCAGTGGTTAATGTCAAAATCTTTAAATATTAATCAGGAAAGTATTTTATATATACTCACCATATACTGTAAGGCTGAATGTGTTGTTGACTGAGGTCCAGTAGTCTCTAGTTACTTTATAATGTCCAGTGTGTTTAGTTGTGGTGTTCATGATGGTCAGAGATCCAGACTGAGTGTCCAGCTTCAGTCTGTCTCTAAATCTCCCATCAGCAGCATTATTATAGTATGTGATGTTGTTGTCTTTTCTGTTGATGTCAGCTATAAGAATGTCTTCAAACTTCCACTCGATCTCTTCATTTTCTTGTATTTGTGTAAGTTTGACTGGTAGAGTGACCGAATCTCCCTCAGTCACTGACACAGACTTCACTTTAACACCAAACACACCTGATAAACACACAAACACTTAGTCATGTAGTTATTTTGAAACTATTAACAGTTTTTTTTTTTTTTTTTACTTTGCTCTAATTAAAAAAAAAAATAGCTGAATTTTAAGAATTAACAATAAACCTTTCATGTGACTGCTAGGGTAAAGATGATAAACTTCAAAATAACACTGCAAAAAAAGCATACTAATGTGATGGTATTAGTCTGATACTGATTAGTGATGGAATTAATTTAATACAATACAAGGTATATGGGCTAATATACACAGAACAGAAATCTTTAAACAAACTTACCAGCCAGACTCCAAAAACACAAGAAGAAAATAAACACGTCAAACACTTTCTTCTGCATTTCAGTAAACAACTTTTAAACAAAAATGAATTTCCGCAAAAAGGCTACATGAAAAGCATAGAATGTTTCTTGATAAACAACAGAAGATCTGGAGATGGCAGTGTTGCTGGTCTAGAAGCAGCTGGTGTGACTCAAAAATGTACTTCCCCTAAAGACTGAGAGCTCTATTGTAATCTAAGTGTGATGTCTAAAGTGAATGGCTCAAAAGCACAGAGGGTGTTTCAGAATCCACTGTTACTAATTTAAAGGCTCCCATTTTACAAGATTTTTAGTGTCTCTAGAATGTGTCTGTAAAGTTTCAGCTCAAAATACCCCTCAGATTATTTTACAGGTAGCAAAGAATTGTGGCCCAGATTTCGCATAAAGCTGGCACAACAGGCAGTCACCCGGCACATACAGCTAGTGGGCCAAACATGGCACAGGTTGGGCTGAGGTGGCACCGTCTTTAAGGCGGCACACAATACTTGGGCCAAATGTAAAATGTAGTATTTGACCCAGATGTTAATAATTGCTATATGGGCTAAGTTTAAATACATTTAAAATACATTTTTATTATTTTTTAATAAAAAAAATAAAAAAACTTCTATTAATCAGATCGCTTTGAGAAAAAAGCGCAATGCTTCATAGGTTTATCAATTTCATTGAAGTTGTGATGCACCAACATATCTGGCCCAGTTTTGGGTTATTAACTTGGCTGAGATTTGGCCCAGATATGGTCCATGTTTGGCCATTGTCTGGCATCCAGACCTGGTCCCAACCCAGGCTCATTCTGAAAACGTAGTCCTGCGGACGTTTCTGGAGATCGCGGAATACGTCCCGGCAGGTACGTACAGCTGCAGTTTTTGTTTTTGCGAATCCGCGAGAGGCCGCTGTGTGTGCTTTTTCGCATCTCAAATGCCTCTCGCGAGTGCCGTTTGCCCCCTCGATGTTCTCGCGTGAACCCACCAGAGGCCGATGTCCGACTGACCGGATGATTGACTGCGCGACCGGCCAATCGGCTGACCTGCTCTCCTCTTTCCCTAAACCCAACTAATTTTACCGATTGACCCGCCTGCTCACTTTCCTAAACCCGAGCAACAATTAATAAAAGCCGTCAAAAAAAATGAAAAGCCCTGATTTTTTTTTTTTTACCGCGTTTTTGGATTTCACCACATTCTCACCCTGTTATGAAACTCATTCACTTAATTTTTGGGATTCTGTTTTTGTCTTACCTGATTTCTGGAACCGCTCTTCCCCGGACTCGAAACCGATCATCGTGGTCAACTCCTCTCTGCATCTCAAGTCTGCCAACGTACACGATGAGCTGAGTGGACAAACGGATTGCAGCGGGAAAGCCCTCCACAAGGAGGTAAGCAGTCGGCCGGCAAGCACGAAAGAGAACAGCGTCACACCGCCCCGTAGTGTTCGCTTGAAAAAAATAAATGCAGCCGTACATAACTCCCGGGACGTATTCCACTGTCTCCAGAAACGTCCGTGGGACTACGTTTTCAGAATGAGCCTGGGTTGCCTGGTCCAGTCATGTACCGTAATTCACTGCGGCATGTGGTCCAAGCAAAAGCTGATAGTGTGGGCCAGAGCTGGGCCAGAGAAATTTAGCTATGTGTTTTAAAATACCCTTCTAAAATCACATTGTAGCTGTTTTGTTACCTGTGTCTTTAAATGCAAGTAAGCTGGTTTTCTCTCGCCCACCGTCCCACATCCGTGTCGGTTTATTATGGGATAAAATTCCCGCCTATAGTATTGTGGTCACAGATAGAAAGATAAAGAGCATAAATCAAAAAAAATTGACATTGTGTGTAAAAGTATGACGTGGAAAAAAGTATAAGAAACGCAGGATAAGAAACAATGAAGTCATGTACCAAAGACAATGATTAAAGATAATCAAAAATGAAAACGCATTTAGACAAAATCAGTTTTCTGCTCATATTTTAATGTTTTGTGTGCTTATGTTCTTTTCCATCTTGTTCTTCCTCTTGTTTCCACGTTCTGCTCTTGCGTTTTTCAAAAGATGAAATTCGAGTTTTATTTAACTCACAGGTGGGCTTCAGCATCATCACTGGTCCAGTAGTAGAGATTTTTTTGCTCCTTTTGCCAATCAGACAAAAGGGGAGTTGACATCACTTTAATGCAACTCGTGGCTGCTTAGTGTGGCAGGCGGGGATGCATTTGTTTCTAAGAATTTCAGATAATATACACAGCTGTCAGTGATCACATTCGAATGAATGCATTTGTTATGGAGTATTCAAACCATTTGGCATAACAGTGAGTCACAAAAATACTATTGCAAAGTTTTTGCACACTGCTATATACACTGCTGTATCCATTATGCTACTGTACAAAATAAACCAGATTTAAAAGCACCTCGTAAAAAGGCTTTTTTCTGACATTACTGTAACACGTTTTATTCAAGAACATTTGAGCTGGTTTTAGTCCTTCATAGCAGTCCTATATAGTTACATGTATTTAACTTGTTTGTTGATTAAATCCCATTTTGTTATTTAACTTATTATTTTAATGCAACAGTCAAGCTTTATGTTAACTTGCTATGAAGAAAAGGAAATAATGTATTTTTTGCTTGCTGATTTATGTGAAATGGTGAATATTGTTCTATATAATCACCTTGCAATTTTGAAATGATAGCTTTTTTGCTTTGAGTATAGACTATTCAGTTCATAAGAGCAGTTCAATCTTTTATGAGGTTTGCTGTATACAAATAAAACATTTTGAAATATTTATAATTATCGGCCTATACATATCGCCTTGGAGGCCAGTCTGAAGAGTTATTGGGTATCGATATCGGCCAAAAAATCCATATCGGTGCATCCCTAACTTCTTTCCCCCATGCTTTCAGGCACCATGCCTAGGACTGCCACAGTTGGATCAAAGGGAATATCAATACAGTGCATACTGACAGAGACTTTCCTCCATGTTTAAACAACTTGTATCCATATTGTCCTTCAACCATGCTTCTATTGGTTTAGCTGTGCAGCCCAATAATAAAGTTTAAGATTGGGAAGACCTATTCCTCCATTCTCTTTTATCAGCTGTAGTGTTTTATATTTTCAACGTCAGCATAAAGTTAAATTGTATGCTCTTCTTTACCTATTTTAATACCTTTTATCACCTTACTTTCTTGTATGAGCTGTGCTAGTGGTTCCTTTATATGTTTGAAGCATTTGCTGACGCTATGGTAGTAAGTCTTTTCTTTTTTACTTTTTTTTTCAAGTCTTTTCCTTATGAAGATTTACTGATTTAAAAACATTTTAACACTAAAACTACGGAGGCAGTCATTTTGACCATTTGTAATATTTGCAATATAATAAATGTTTGAAATAAAACCCACATATCTATAGGACCCTGGCTTTTGCTAACTATTTGTGTATTTCCTTCTCACATTGTTATTTTATTAAAATAACAAAACACAAATTATTTCTACCTAGAACCACCATAGTGGTAAAAATGACTACTTCAGTGTCTGCTACTTCCTGTGACTCTAAATATGTGTGCCTCTGTTGCCAAGCAACTTCCTGCAAACAAAAACACAACCTTGTGTAGGAAAGAACATAACTTCACTTTCAAACTAGCAGTGCCACGAAAAAACCTACTCCTCTGCTTGAGGAAGTGAAAATGAACATTCACGGTGGTCTAACATAACTATACATTTATAGGCTGTATTACCAAAAAGATTGTATTTTAAGGGTGATGTCTTAATTAAATATGATGACAGTAGTTCTGTTAGTTCCCGTTGTAAACTTTGCAAAAGTCATTATTGAGGTGCAGCTGATCACAGGGAGTTGGAAGCGCTGGAGTGTACAGCGTCTTCAAAATTTAAGTCCTACCTTACCTTTAACTATTGGACTGTGGGGAAAACCGGAGCACCTGGAGGAAACCCACACAAATTTTGGGAGAATGTGCAAACTCCACACAGAAATGCCAACTGGTAAAGCCGGAACTCGAACCAGTGACATTCATGCTGTGAGATGACAGTGTTATTGACTAAGCCACCATGCCGCACCAATGTTATTATAATAATAAAAATACATATTATTAAAAATAATAGTAGCCTTCATATGAAAAGCATGTAAATGTAAATCTTGTCCCGCAACATTTGCCCACCTGAGATCTGTCAGCCCACCTTTCAATATCTTTCAGAACCGGGCCTGTATGTTGTGGTTGTAATAAATCACAATTTATCAGTGGTTTCAAGGAAATTTACATTTATTTTAGGATTCAGGCATTCAAATTTTAGCAAATATTAATATCTAAGGCAGGGATGGGCAAACTGTCCAGCAGAGTTTAGCTTGAGCTCTAACCAAACACACCATCGGCCCTCCAGGACTGAAGTTGCCCATCCCTGATATAAGTTAAGCAAAATAGACTCTGATGTCTATGAAGATGGCAGTGGACGATAAGACACACACTGTTTATGTTACTAGAACATTTACACTTCATCTCTCAAGACTTAACATGACCTTTATCACCATTCGTTCATTTACTTTCCTTCGACTTAGTTCCTTACTCATCAGGGGTCACCACAGCGTAACGAACCTCCAACCACTCTGGCATATGTTTTACCCAGCGGATGCCCTTACAACCAGCACTGTGCTGGGTAATACCCATACACTCTCTCATTAACAAACACACTCACACACAAACACACACACTACAGCCAATTAAGTTTATTAAATTCACCTGAACCGCATTTCTTTGGACTGTTGGAGAATCCGGAGCACCCAGAGGTAATCCACGCAAAACACAGTGAGAACATGCAAACTCCACACAAAAATTCAGAACTAGACCCAGAACTAGAACCAGCAACCTTCTTGCGTCAGTAAAAAAAACTGAGCCACAATGCCGCCCGAGGTCATCAGCCATCATATATCAAAAATTATAATCACTATAAAGCTTTTAAAAGACACAATACATGTTCTTAGGCATATTTGAAAATCAGAATATCAGATATTTTACAACATATCCACACATTTAAAAAAAACAATATATGAATAACTCATTGGGGCTACAGTTTCAAGCAATAAAGTTGATGTGTTGTCATGGGAACTTTAAAGCGGGGTATTCTTAATAACAATCAAAAAAAAAAAAAAACAAACTCACATGGGTCAGCAGAAGTATTTAAATCTTACTCTTAAAGACCCCCCCCCCCCCTTTTTTTTTTTTTTAGCTGTGATTCAATACTATTGCACCAGTGCACACTGTAGACTTGTTTATGACCTTTGTTAAAACTAGAAATTAGTAAAAGACACAGGCGTTAAACTCAGTTCCTTAGTTCTCGTTTGACATAAGAGACTTGCATAAGAGAATATATGTAATCATGTAGCTGAGAAAATGATTGTAATCCTAGATATGTGTATTATAATTTTAAGAAATGCCAATTAACATATAATAAACATATAACATGACCTGGCCTACATTTGGCACAGTATACTGGACCAGATGCAAAACAGATATAACCAGATTTGGCCCACACTTGGCCAAATCAACATAAGTGAATGCACATCTGGCCCAGTGCTGGTCCAGATAAGTAAAATGGTTATGCCCTATCTGGAGAAGATGATTTTTGCTATCTGGCCAGTTACGGCTAGGAGTCTACTGCTGTCTAGGATGGTAATGCTGTTTTAAAATTATTTTGGCCTCTAAAAATCGATAGCCCTCCTCCATGAACTGCAACCTTATCATGGAGAGGGGTTTGAGTGCCTGAGTGATCCTAAGAGCTATGTTGTGGGGGGCTAATGCTTCTGGTAGGGTCTACCAAGGCAAAAAAAGGTGAAATGCAGATGAAAATGAATGAATGAATGAATGAATGAATGAATGAATGAATGAATGAAAAATTAATCGCCCTTGAACTGAATTATCTATTTGATCAAAAGTTTGATCAGCGCCTCACAGTGACTCCTGCGTACACCACATCAGGCTCCACTTGAACACTCTAAAAGAAAACAAACACATGTATATCATAGAGATTATTAAAAGCATCCTGACAATATAATGTGTAATAGTACACACAAACAGAAATACACAATCTGTATCCAAGCACACACCTAAATCTGAATGACTGCAGAGACAATACCGAAAGACAGTCAAAAATGGTCTCACCGATTTCTGTGCTTTTGTTCTGTAGAATGTTGGCTCAGCATATGTGATCTCTTCTGCATGAGTCTCAACTGCTTAAAAAAAAAAACATTAAAAAAGCATCAATAGAAACGTGATTGACTATTGTGGTTTCATTTTCACTGGAACACATTCTCCACATTATTGCATTGTTCTTCTACAGTTTTGTTAGGAGTGGGTAACACACTTACCTTCTTGATGAGATGTTCTGATTTTTTTGCAGAAGACCCAGATTGCAGCAGCAATCAACAGACAGCCAACAACAACAGCAGCAGCAGCAGATAGTAGCAATATATCATTTGATTGTTGGTGACCTGTAATGGAAAAAGTAAGCCATTAACCAACACTTGTAAAAGTGCTTCACAATCATGAAGAGGGTCTCTCCACACCACCACCAGTGTGCAGCATCCACTTGGATGATGTGATGGTAGCCTGCAAGTGCGCTCAACACACACCAGCAATTGGGGGAGTGGAGAGACAGTGATAGAGCCAATTCCGTGGATGGGGAAGATTGGGAGGCCATGATGTATTAGGGCAGATGGAAAAAATTTGGCCAGGACACCTGTACATTTACCTGGAAATGCCATGAGATTTTTAATGACCACAGTTGTGACATCACTGTGAGGGGTAGCATTATGGGTGGGGTTAGGTGAGCCCATTAAAACAGCATTGGATGCAGCTCAGATTGCACTGCATCCAGACCCCTCTCCTTCCAACAGCAACTTAGTTTTCACATGTGGTCTACCATCCAGGGAATGACCAGGCTCAGCCCTACTTAACTTCAATGAGTAACCGGTCTTGGGCTGCAGGGTGATATGGCTGTGGCTTTTTAACGGCGCTTTACAATAAGGTTCCATTAGTTAAAGTTAGTTAATGCATTTAGTAACTAAGGGTGTAATGTTACGCATATTCTTATTGAACCGTTTAATACGAGACTTTCGGTTCAGTGTGCATTACAAACTGAACGATTCAGACTAATATCTAAAAAGATGAAAGAGAACAAGTGTACAAAATATGTTTTCAGTGCAACAACGCATCAAGGCATCCCATGACGTGACAGGGAACATGCTGCCTTCCTCGCACACCTCCAAACACTATTCCAGTCAGGCACACGCTGCACTATCTCATTGCAAAATGTGTTGTAATGTTAATGTAATCCTCATATAACCAACAACTGGTCTGGCATTTAAGAGCACTTTGGTTTCCCTGTAAGTTATGAGGTTGATGGCAAGAGAGTGGTGGATAAAAAAAACAAAAAAAACAATGATATGTCACATCTGCTGTGACAGTAAGCTATTTTAGCGGTATATTTGAACATATCAACTCATGTACACTGACATCACGGAATCACTAATTGGAATTAGATGAAAACACGTGCACTATACATGCAACCATCCTGGCAGCATTCAGACAGGCAATTCCTACAGATTCGAACATGGCAAAACAAATCACTGAGGCAATCAGTACATTTATAACAATATGGATATGAGACCTTAATTGGTTGTGGAAAATTCGGGTTTTAGAAAATGTTAAATGTAATAGAGCCCCGTTACATTATTCCTTCATAAGCTCATTTCAGTCAGATAATTCCTGCTTTCAGAGCCACTAGGTGACAGTCAAATCAAGCAGATCTGTGCTGTCTGAAGAAAAGGTGGACGCTCATCTTTCTGAAAAAAAAAAATACTTCCAGGTTCTTTGTTCTTGTCTTTTTAAATATTTAACTGCTACAATATTACATTTATTTTTATAAGCAGCTTTTTATTTTTGAGTATAAAGAAGGATTTGTTTTATTTGGTGCTAAGCAGAAACGCCAGAAGTATGGCTCACTTTTCAAAGTAAAAGTAAAAAACACAAGATCAAAATTAAAATCAGAGAAATCCTCTATTTTTTTTTTTTTTTGCTGTGTCGAAAACATATAAAAGCCTCAACACCACTGTCATATCGAATCAAATCGTGAACCGTCACACCCCTTTTACTAACTGGTACGACCCTGTTTTTCCTTTTCTTACTTTTTGTTGGCCACACAGTGTGATGTCACAGTTAATTACTTAATTAACGGGAGAATGTATATATTAAATTTATTTTTATTTATTTATATATTTTTTGTGAAGAACAGCACTGCCTCTATTGGACCATTATTCCCCAGGGAGGTCATTTTGTTTCAACTCTTTTGTTTAGCTGTCTTAGATTTTTGTGTTATAGAACATTGTATTTTGTAGAGGATTTCAGTTGATTTCTTATTTATTTTAAATCCCTAGACAGTTATTATATTTTTTATTCCCTTCAATAAATGTTTATTTCATTATATACTTTTGTGTGTATCTGATTCTTTTTATGGTATGGTTGAGAGCGAACTGGCCGTAACACTAATGTAGACAAATAACACACAATACATTTATTACACTATTCTGTCAGTTTTACTTATATTAGTAATGAAAATAGTCATGCATTATTATTTGTCATTGTTAACTCAAAGTGCATTAACTAATATTATCAAGCATGACTTAAGACATTAATAATGCATCATTAAATGTTGAACTGACTAATAAATGCTGTACAAGTATTTTTCATTTTTAGTTCATGTTAGGAAAAATTGTGTATTAACAGACATTAACTAATGAAAACTTATTGTACAGTATGACCTTAACCCTTGTGTGCTGTTGCAGATGTTTTCATCCACACTGGGATGATTGTGAGGATTAATTTTGTTAGGAAAAAGGAATTATAAAAGAATTTCTTAAACATATTTTTTTCTATTTTTCTTTTCATTAAACAGTTGTATTTATGTTACTTTGAGGTGGTGTATTAACTGAACTTTTTCTCGAGTCTGATATGTTTTGCATACTAATGAAGTATTTTTGCAGAAGTAGATAAATGCTTGTCTAAAATTAACTTGAGCTTTGCAGTGAAACTTTCTATGAGCATAGAATTTGCAAGTCTTGTGCTTTTTAATGCTGTGTAGAGAATTCGTACAAAAAAGGATGAATGTATGTGTGCGGCCAATAGAGGACGGGAGAATGATTGACAAGTGACAAATTTCACTAAACTCCACCTGTAAATATCATCTGCCTATAAAAGTTAGTTAGTCCAGTCAGGAAATGAAAATGATTGCGCACCTCCTGAATGTAACTTTTGCATTGAATTGACGCTAACAGAATTTTGCGGATCGGATTTGTTAATTTGTATTTAATAAATTGCTAATATGTTAAACCTTGAAGAAAAACCTCTTCTTACCCTTTTATTGAACACACATGGAATTGATTAATTATTCCAACACTTTCCCTGTGTTTTAGCAAATGGAATGATTTTTGGTGACAACCTTTATTCTGATACATATTTTGATGCTTTAAAATGTTTTAACAACTCAACAATAGACAATTTGTTATGTTTGTAACAGCGTCCGTGACTGTGCCCCTAGGACTATGTATTTTTTGATTGAAAACCATGACACCAAATAATCCCGCATTCTTAAATGTTGCTAGTTTTCCCTGTTGGGAAGATGCAAAATGTGTATCCCAGGCTAATGCTGAAAACATACCCCTTTATACATTTCTGGAGAGTGCCAAATACCTCCCAGGAAGAACTTTTTTTGCAGTTTTTGGTTTCACAAATCTGCCAGAGGCCGCTGTGTATGTTTTTTGAGATCTGATGCTGTGTTCACACCAGACGCGGAACGCATGAATAAATCGCGCATAAATAGCCGCGTAAACATTTGAGTTTACTCGCTTCATTCGCGCGTCAAACCCCGTTTCATTTGCCCGTCAAATTCGCTTAATTCGCGGATCAAATTCACTTCAGAACAGACGCGGATTCACGTGATGGGCAGGGCTTCTGTCTGCCCGGTGACTCTAGCCCGGTGACTCTACAGGATCCTTTCAGGGGTGCATCCAGCTCTGTGAGCTCATAAACTCTTCCAGAAACTTAACCTGGATGATGGAGGCTTTCAGCGGTGCTTCTGACTGAGCCCAGCCCAGTTTGATGTACTGTTGTCGGCTGGAAGATTTCCCCTGAGACACCAACAAGAGGCAAACGTCGCAATCACGCCCCCACACGAGCAAGCTCCTGTTTGGTTAATGTGGCGCGAATGTCCGCCATAAGTTTAGATTTTTAAACTCGGGCGATTCGCGCGAGACGCCTTTTAAGCGCATCAAATGTGCAAAACGCTAAATTCACGCCATTTGTGCGTATTGCACCACAGGATGTCTATTTGCGCATTTGCATTGACTTCAAATTTAAATCACTCGGGCTTGACGCACCTTCCGCTTTTGGTGTGAACACAGCATTGCATTTCTCTCGCGAGTGCCATTCGCGCCTGCTGTTCTTAGGTAAATCCACCAGAAGCCGCTGTTGACTGACTGAAAGAGTGATCGAACCCACCCTCCTGCTTCCCTAAACCCAACCAATAGTGTTTTCATAGTCACTGATTGACCCACTCACTTACTTCCCTAAACCCAACAGACAGTTTTAAAAAGCAATACAGAAAAAGAAAAGCCCTCGCTTGATTTTTACCACATTTTCAGATTTTACCACATTCTCACACTGTTATTTACTTGTGTATTTTATTTTTTGTCTTCTGCTTTGGTCTTACCTGCTTTCTGAAACTGTTCTTCATTGGACTCTATCGTCGTCCTGGTCAACTCTCCACTGCGTATTACGCCTATGTTGAAAAAGATTTACTGTTGGTCATCAGTTACAGTTAAAAAGCTTAGTGTGTGTGTGTGTGTGTGTGTGTGTGTGTGTGTGTGTGTGTGTGTGTGTGTGTGTATAAGAGTATTTATGCATGCAAACTATCATTTGCTGTTTTACTCCATTGAACTCCATATAAAAGCCAGACTTTTTGCACAGGCCTATCTAAAGCAGTTATCTTCTAGAATAACAATGAAGTCTGTTAACAGTCACATTATTTAAGCAAACTAATGGCTAGTGTTAGTGGTGTCACTGCTAAAATCAGAGAAGGAATTTCATCCCAGTGCAGTAAAACAAGAGATTTTGATCAAATATTATTAAGAGAATTATGTGGATAAACATGTATGGAGAAATTGTTCACCTCAAGAACAGCAACATCCACCAACATAGCAAATTTTGTCAGTTTTGATTTTTATGACAACTTCAGGTAAAGGTTATATGTGTTTTAAAAAAACCTACATAGTTAGCGGTTGCTAACTTCGATTGATACATCAAACAGGGTAAATAATTGATTACTCACCACTAACTGTAAGGCTGAATTTGTTGTTGACTGAGGTCCAGTGGTCTCTAGTTACTTTATAATGTCCAGTGTGTTTAGTTGTGGTGTTCATGATGGTCAGAGATCCAGACTGAGTGTCCAGCTTCAGTCTGTCTCTAAATCTCCCATCAGCAGCATTAATATAGTATGTGATGTTGTTGTCTTTTCTGTTGATGTCAGCTATAAGAATGTCTTCAAACTTCCACTCGATCTCTTCATTTTCTTGTATTTGTGTAAGTCTGACTTGTAGAGTGACCGAATCCCCCTCAGTCACTGACTTCACTTCCACGCCAAACATACCTAATAAACACACAAACACTTTCTCAGGCAAAGTCTTGGAATGTTTATTAGTTAATTTGAAACTATAAGCAGTTTTCACTCTACACTGACTAGAAAAATGAGCTGAATTTTAGAAATTAAACTTTCAAGTGACTGTTAATGATGATAATGGTCAGTAAAGCAACATTAATACAAACTAAGATTGTATAAAAATTATAAAACAACTTTAAAATATTGGTAACACTTTACAACAACAGTACATGAATAATGATGTACTAATATGTAAACTAAAAATTACTTTATTATGAAATAATGATGAGTTAAAGTAAGCGCTAATCATCAATATTTGCAAAATATAACTTGCAAAATAAATTATGAAATATATTTGGACTAAATTGATAATATAAAGAGAACTGGAATATTTTTGTAAAATAATAAACTTACCAGCCAGACTCCACAAACATAAGAAAAATATAATTATGTCAAACATTTTCATCTTGATTTAAACTGCAGTTTCAAATAACAACAGTCCTGAAATACAAATTATGTAAAACTAATCCAAAAGAAATAGACTAATTTATAATTAAAATGATAGAAGGCTTGCTAAGCAGTATACTGATGGTCGCAGTTAGTTTACTGGGGTCAAGCCAGCCACACCTTGGAAAAACAGTCAAGCCAACAGCAAATTATATTAACATGCGCGTGTAATAATATGATTACGGTGATTTCAAGAATCACTCAGAGAGTGTTTTTCGCTCAGAATAGAGAGATTATAGATAAACGAGATGTCATTTTCCCTTTTTTTGTAACGTATGCTTGAATAAACATTTTATCAGCTCTTTCTTAGGGTGTTTAAGCAACAGATTTCAGTACTTTCATTATGTATTTTCTTTTAAATGGTTTTTTTCTTTGACTTGTTTTTATTTGGTCTAGCCTTGTACGATGTCAAAACTGTCTAATGCAATTTTATATATGCTAACGTGATTTAAACTCAGAAAGTGAATGGCAGTCATAAAGCAGTCCAAACAGAAATTTCTAATAAGTAGAAAAAAACAATGGTCAGATCTGATACAGAACATCCCATATACGAGTTTAAGTTTGGTCTGACCCCGCTAATTAACCCTTTAAAAAGGCTTATTTATTTTATCTTAGTTAAATGTTGTCTTGCTTAACAAGATCGCACAAGGAAGTGTGTATTAAACCCTGACTCTAGAGGACGTTGTGTTAGGATGGCTATTTGTGCAATGTTTCAGCTAAACAAAGTTAAGTGACATGCATGTTAGCCTTTCACCCACTAGAGGGCGTCAGGTGAACATCAGGACAGTGGTCCCATGAAATCTGTTCTAGATTTTGAATGTATTGTATTGTACGAATCTGCATCTTTTTACTTATTCTAGATTTATTTACTGCTGGTCATCAATTACAGTATAAAAAGCTTAGTTTCTGGTTTTATATGAAGTGTGTGTGTGTGTGTGTGTGTGTGTGTAATATTAATTAATAATAATTAGTATATAATTTAATAATAATTAATTAACTTATTTTGGCTAAGGACAATGTTTAGTCAAATTTTATTTTTTACCATTCAGAAGTGCAATATATTCACATTAAATATGTGTTACATATATTGAATATTGAAATATTTTAATATTTAAATATATTTTCCAAATGCATAACATTTCTAAAAAAACTTTTATCTTCATTGTGCATATATATATATATATATATATATATATATATATATATATATATATATATATAAATATAGTATATGTTTGTGTTTGTGTGTTTTTTATTTATAATAATAATAATAATAATAATAATTAGTATATATTCATTTTTAATGTATTTATAAAATATATTTCATTCATTCGTTTTCTTTTCAGCTTAGTGCCTTTATTATTCTGGGGTCACCACAGTGGAATGAACCGCCAACGTATCCAGCACGTTTTACGCAGCGGATGCTCTTCCAGCTGCAACCCATCTCTGGGAAACATCCATACACACTCATTCACACTCATACACTACGGACAATTTAGCCTACCCAATTCACCTGTACCGCATGTCTTTGGACTGTGGGGGAAACCGGAGTACCCGCATACTATACATATTTATATATATACATAGTAAATACGTGTAGTATTTATGACTACCCCTCAAGATTTCCAACCATGTTGCGCTCCATCCTCCAATTCAGTAGATGGCGGAAAATGCACAAAGTTGGTTTGCCAACCGCCAGATCAATCTCCAGAAGAAGAAGAAGAAAGAGGCAACGGTTTTCGTCAGTAACTATATATAAATATATGTATGTTTTGTTTGTTTAATTACAATTGACTGTACAATTTACAATACGACTGTCACTGACAGTCTTGCAGGTTCGGAAATAACACCGTAAAACTAATTATTAAAAAGGTTATACAGTGAAACTGGATTTCTGGAATATACATCAATATGAGGAACACTTTCAAAGCCGTTATGTTTGTGTTTGTAATGAGCGGTAAGTGTGTGGTTTCTTATTCTAACACTTTCGGTTTCACTTTAGGATTTACTGCGCTTAAACCACGGGTTATCGTAGTTTTAAAAATGATTTTAATTCAGGGTAAAGTACGTTTAACACATGTAGGCTCATTTAAAAGCGGGGTTTGGATAAGTTGTCATAATCAGCTGCTTTGTGCAGTTAGAGCACGGATGGAGTCAGCCATTTTAAATCACTTCAGTCACTTCACTGCCATATAAATCTCTAGTGAAATTATTTACTACCTAGTCTAATTATAGTTTGTCTTGCTTGTTGTTTTTATCATTGGGATAACGTTATCAGTTATAGGGAGAGCAGGGCACAACGTAACACTTTTTGGTTTTGGTCAAATAATGAACAAAGTAAGGGGTTAGACAAACCATTTTTTTTCAACACACAAGCCTCTCCTACAAATGAGCACTGGCTGTATGATCGCCGGACTTATGGTTTTTGTGCAGTATTACCAAAAGTGCCAGGAGTATAAATGTTACTATTTACCCCACCTGTGGGGCAGGTTGTAACAGACAGAGGATTATTAACACATGCTTGAAAAAGGCCGATTGTACACAATTAATTTTAATCCAGTTTACTTTAAATAGAAGCTATATTTCCTCAGTACTTAGCTTAATTTATTTGTTATTCTACATAGCACAGTATGTTTATTTATTTATTTATTTATTTATTAATTATTTATGTGTTGGGTAAACACATTTGGATTTATTTGGATTATTATCCATTATTATACAATGCATTTATTTGTAGTATTATTAGCAATGAAATATTTTTTGTCTATTAAAAATATTTTCTTCTAAAAAACATTTTATATAAAAAGTTCAAAACGTTACACTCAAAATAAAAAATAAAAAATATAGTGTGTGGCTTAATTCTAACATCCTGTTATAACTAACCCCACTGTGTAGGTTTTCCTTGAAACTGGCTAGCTATGACTGTGTGTTTTACATCTTTTAAAATGGTTCCATGTTTTAGCCTAGAAAACAGTGATTACAACAGTAACAGATTTTAGGTTCATACTTTCACAGATTTTTTAATAATAAATAAATATTGACTATAATAAAAATACTTTTATGCTGCAAAAATGTTTATTCCTCATTCAAATTTTGCCAGATTTTTTCAGTAACTGGCAGAAAGACGTCTGCTGACACTGTGGTAAAACCCTGAGCAAATACCTTAAAACCTCATGTTACATTTTACCGCATTACTTTGTGCTCCGCGCTCCCCTGTTTATTATGTTAGCGAATATATCATTAGCTGCCTTGTTTGTTTGTTTATTTGTTTGTTTGTAGCTTAGTCCCTTTATTCATCAGGGTTCGCCACAGCAGAATGAACCGGCAACTTATCCAGCATATGTTTTACACAGCAGATGTCCTTTCAGCTGCAGCCCAGTACTGGGAAACACCCAAACACACTCATTCACACATACACTACTGCCATTTTAATTTATTCAGTTTACCTATAGCACATGTCTTTGGACTGTGGGGGGAACTGGAGCACCCAGAGGAAACCCATGCCAACATGGCAAGAACATGCAAACTCCACACATATATGCCAACTGACCCAGCCGGGACTCGAACCAGCGACCTTCTTGCTGCGAGGCAACAGTGCTAACCACTGAGCCACTGTCACCCTGCATATATATTTAAACAGAATAAATTGCTTAGAAAAAGTGCTTAAATTGCTCTACCACAAATATTACTGCATTTCTCATCTCTCAGGCTCACCTTAGGTAGACACCTGTCACATTGAGGCTGTGTTTACACCGCTTTTATTTTAAAATGTATAAATTTTTCCGTAGTTATTTGGGGGTCCTCGTTACTATGAAGCTTTTGACCAGGGGTCACCAATCTTGGTCCTGGAGGGCCAGGGGAATGCAGTAGAACCCCTTATTTTTAAAATGCAGACTGGATCATCCTGTATTCATCACTTTAGGGGGCTGGTGGTGGAGGGTTCTTTAGTTCGCATACTGCATGTTTTATTTTGGATCAGAGTAAATATTGTTACATCCCATTTTTATTATCACACTTGTTTGACGTGCTGATCACAGTGAAAGCTGGTCTCTATCATTATCAACTGTCTTTAATCGCTAAGAAACTGTGTCTGTCTGTTTTGCAGGTGTATTTGGTGCTGATGAAGGGAAGTCAGCGTCAGTGTCAGTGATGGAAGGAGATTCTGTCACTCTAAACCTTAATCTTACTCGTATACAAGGATTTAATAAAATTGAGTGGAAGTTTGCGAATACAACTCTAGCCCGTGCTAAAATTGCAAATGTGCTTCCATATCCTGATCAAACTGTCATATCCAAAGATCGACTGCATCTGAATAAGACTGGATCTCTGACCATCAGAAATATGAGAACCAATTTCTCTGGACAATATGAAGCAGTGGTCTTCCATAACAGTGGTACCAATAAAACTCAAATCGTGGTTACTGTTTATGGTAAGGATATGTTTATTAAGTTGAATAATTCTGTTATTTTACTTTTTAGGCAAATTACAGTGCTTGCTATTTGGGATTCAAAGCTCATCCAGCAAATATTCACTGTAATTCAGTTTTCACAATATCACAGCCAGGCTGTTGTTCTAAATATCACACCTGTAATTTGGCCACAGATGACCACATGGCTGGTATTAAAAAATTACCTCATGATCAAGAAGTTGAAACTGTTTTGTACATAACAGTACTAGAGAGAAATGTATGTTAGCTTCCAGATAATAGAAGCATATATTTAGTTATACTTCATTCCACCAATTGCTATACATTCAACCCAAACTATGCAGGATTCATTGTTTTGTGCATTGTAATGTTACCTAATAAACACAAAAACTAGATATTAATGTACACATTGATTAAATGTTTGGGCTAGGTTTCACAGGCAATGTTTAGTCTAATCCTGGATTAGGCCATTGTTCAGTTAGGATTTAACTTTTTTTATATATATATATAAATGTACCATAAAACAATCCTGAGACAAAATAAAGGCACCCATATGTTTTAAGATCAGTCAGTGCAAGTTTCTATCAGTTGAGGCAGCTCTAACATGTACTTTACTCTGGGACTATAGGCTTAGGTTTTGTCTTTGAAACTGTGGCTTTATCTTTGTTAATTATCATTTGTCTAATGCCATAACCAAAAGTAGAACCAATAAACAAAGCTTATGTTCTAGTACAGTTTATATCCTTCATTCATTATGTTTAATATGTTTGTAAATATATTTTTATTTGTAGGGTCTCCACTTGTTATCAATGCTCATAAAGCTGAAACAAAGAGCTTGTCAGTGACAGAGGGAAACCCTGTTACTCTTCACACTGATTTTACTGAACTACATGGAGATGAGCTGATAGTGTGGAGGTTTGGAGATGAGGGAAAACTCCTGGCTAAAGAAGACAAAGAGACCAAGAGTTCACCATATTATGATACTGATGAGAGGTTCAGAGACAGACTGAAGCTACATGACCAGACTGGATCTCTGACCATCAACAACATGAAAGACACAGACGCTGGACTTTATACACTGAAGATCAACTGCAACAATGATACATTATACAAAAAATTCACTGTTACTGTCAGTGGTGAGTAACTCAAGGGTTTAAAGTCATAGTCTGTAAATAACTGTTGATATGATGTAAATAAAAAAAAAGTTTATCATGAGGAATCAACTCTCCTTTTAACATAACTAAATTCAGTGTCATCGATCAGACTGTGTCTTTATCATTACAGGTTCAGGTGTGTCTTCAGCTGCTGTAGCAGGAATTATTATTGTTCTGCTGCTGCTGTTTGCTGTTGTAGCTGGATTGGGTTTTCTTTACCATCGCCGCAAGATCTCCAAACAACACGTGGGTAAGTATTACAGGTTATGGAACAAGAGAAAAAATACGAGTTTTATTTGTTACACAGTAGAGTTTAAAAGTATATGATTATTTTAGCATCACTATTTTGGTAGTAAAATCATTGATTTATCCATAAAGATATTTTGTATCAGAGACAGAATGGCATGACATTTAACAGACTGTTATGTCTTGCAGGTACAATACAATTAATGTAGTTCACTAATTCAACTGGATACATTTAATTTTAGTATTATGTAAATAAGGTATTTAAAAAAATATTTTCTCTGTTGCTTCAAACCTGATTTTTTTGTCAAATATGTGGAATTAACAGCTTTTTAGACTAATGTGCAAAATACAGCATTCACAAAAATGTTTGAATTTTTATTATTGTTATTATTATTAATTATTATTATTATTATTATTATTATTATTATTATTATTATTATTATTATTATAAAGGGACTAAGCCGAAAAGAAAATTAATTAATGAATTATTATTATTATTATTATTATTTTAATTAATGTTATCATTATTATTATTATTATTATTATTATTATTATTATTAGTAGTAGTAGTAGTAGTAGTAGTAGTATTAAAAAGGACTAAGCCAAAAAGAAAATGAATGATTATTATTATTATTATGATGAAGGGACTAAGCTGAAAAGAAAATTAATAAATGAATTGATATTGTTATTATTATTAATAATATTATTATTATAAAGAGACTAAGCTGAAAAGAAGATTAAAGAATTATTATTATTATTATTATTACTATTATTATTATTATTATTATTATAAAGGGACTAAGCCGAAAATAAAATTAATGAATTCATTATTATTATTATTATTATTATTATTATTATTATTATTGTCATAAAGGGACTAAGCTGAAAAGAAAATTAATGAATTAATTGATAATGTTGTTATTATTATAATTTATTATTATTATTATTATTATAAAGGGACTAAGCCGAAAAGGAAATTAATGAATTCATTATTATTATTATTATTATTATTATTATTATTATTATTATTATTATTATTATTATTTTTATTTTAAAGGGACTAAGCCAAAAAGAAAATTTGTGAATGAATTGTTATTATTATTATTATTATTATTATTTAGGGACTAAGCTGAAAAGAAAATTAATTAATTAATTATTATTATTATTATTATTATTAGTAGTAGTAGTAGTATAAAGGGACTAAGCTAATTAATTAATTAATATTATTGTTATTATTATTGCTTATTTTAATTGAAGGAAAATAATGTTTTCATACAGTACAACAATAAACATTAAAGTTTCCTTCTTTTTTAAAAATTGCAGGACAAACTACATTAAAGATGAAAAGCACCATAAAGTGGATATAAAAACATATAGAGATATTATTTAACCGCTGGGTAATTATTTCAGATTTTTAAAAAGATAATAAAATAGGTTCCCAGTATGTATAGAACCTTTCCACCGAACCACTTAGTGTGTATTTAATCTTCTCTACTTTTATAAAAGACATCACATTGTTTTATTATTAATTTACAAGATGGCATTTGCTGATGTTATTGCATATATTATTGTAAATTGCTTCAGATGGTTTATAAAGTCATTCAAACAATGAAAAGATTATCAACATGTAAAGTTGACATCAAAAGTTCTTTCACAATTTTTTTCTCTTCATATCCAATAAAGCTTTACTGACTCATTACAATCTCTTTTCATGTGCTTCTGTGTCCCATAAAGAGAAACCATATCATACAGCAGAGGGAGAAAACGTCACTTTAAAGACCAAAATTAATCTGCTTAAAGGCGATGAGATCCAGTGGTGGTTTAGAAATGAAAACTCTCCAATAGCTGAAATAATTGAAGGGATTGGAGAGACATATGGTGGTCCTGATGAGATATTCAGAGACAGACTAGAGCTGGACGAGACTGGATCTCTGACCATCAAGAAGGTCAGACATGAACACACTGGTGAATATAGGTCAAAGATAATCAACTGCAGTGGAGAAACCATAAACTGGAGATTCAGTGTTCATATTAAAGGTGAGTATATTTCTCTATGATCAACACAGTTCTACCACGTATATTTAAATTTTTTACTTTTTTCTGTGGTTTAATCATCTAAAACTCATCTGACTACAGTATTTAGTGTATAAATAAGCATGATCTAGCCATTTCTGCACATTATGAAAATGTCAGTTCCTCCAGCAGTATTTATCACAGATGTTTTTATTTATAGCAGATAGTGTACTCTAAATGTTTATCTCAGTCAAACTAGGCATTAGATGATAAATGTTTTCAAGGTATACCGCGGTTGGAAAAGTCAAGGTTTTAAAACCGCCAATTTTTTTTTTTTTTAATACCATTCCTAAGGTGTGTATGATTTATTTATTTTTTTCTAGTTTTTAGGATAACAGTATCTCCAGCAGAAAAGATATCCAAAGATGCTGTTGTAAACTGTAAAGAGATCTGTGTTTTGGAAACGAATGAAGACAGCAAAAGTCAATGATTCACTTGAATTATTTAGCCTGACATGTTTACTGCTCAAAAATATTTTAAATGTTTCTTAAAATAACATGTATTGTGTTCAAATGGAAAAAAAGTTTTATGGTGCTTTCACATCTGTGGCTCGGTTCATTGTGTCCAGACCAAGGGCAACATTGGATACATTGTAGCATTTTTCTGCCGTTTTTGGGTCCTTTTCACACCACACTGATTACTTTGGTCCGAACCAATTGAAAAGAACCAAAATGCAGTCATGTGACAAAATCCACATCACTCAGATGTGATTGAACGTATTTCCTAAACTGCTTTTAGTTTTAGTAGGCTGATTGGCTGACTTAAAGTGCAGAAAAATGCCAATGGAACTCTTGCAAGTAAACAAACTGACAGTCACAAAATGTCACTTTTTATTATAAAGGGATGTCTGTGGTGGCTGATTGTATCCCTCGTCATAGTATACTGTATATTTTGTATACATCATTTTAGACAAACTATACATTTCGAGAAGGCTCATCACAAGTCACTTCAGGAGGAGGTGTGAATTAATTCAGCTAAACCTCTTCTAAGAGGCCTTCATTGGCTGCCTGTCCAATTCAGAATTGATTTTAAAGTGCTTTTACTGGTCTATAAATCACTCCATGTAGCCCCAACCTATCTCTCAGAGCTGCTTCATTTTTACACCCCCTTGAGATATCTTAGGTCGAGTGAGCAAAATCTTCTTTCAGTTCCACAGTCTAGGCTGAAACATAGAGAGGACAGAGCTTTCTCTGTGGCAGGTCCTTGGGTGTGGAACACCTTGCCCCTTGAGATTAGAATGGCTCCATCATTATCTATTTCTAAATAACTTCTTAAAATGTACCTTTTTAGCTTGGCTTTTTACGATTATTTTAATAGTCCTTTCTACTGCTACATTTTTACAGACATTTCTCTCGTCTTATCTCTATGTTTTTACATTCCGTCTTTTTATTTTTACCTTGTCTTATGTACAGCACTTCGGTCAGTCTTGTAACTGCTTTTAAATGGGCTCTATAAATAAATGAACTTGAACTAAACTGCGACCTGGTCATCTTACGGAAATATTGCCAACGATGCATCAGCTAATGTTTTTCTCTCTCTTTCTCTCTCCCTGTTTAAAATTGTTGGTAAAGCGCTTTCAGCAAATATTTTTCCTCCACATCCCATATGATGGGACAGTGCATCGGACCAACGTTACAGCAGCTGGATTAGTCAAAAAGGCGCAGTACTTTTTGCAGTTGGGTCTGTTTTAGTTCGGATCATGTTCTCACCACAGACAAACCGCTCCAGGCTTTGTTTAAAAGCGTACCGAGACCACCTCTTCAAGCATTTTTTAATTCGTTTTTGGTGCATACTCGAGTGTGATTGCTACATTTACACCTGCCCAAAAGAACCACATCAAGAGGGAAAACGAACTTTGTGCGATTCAACTGAACTAAGTGAAGTTTCTAATACTAATTTCGAGAGGAGCACGTGATAGAATTGACTAAAGCTGATCCCTATCACTAATCAATAACTAGCCAATCGGATCACTCTAAATTCAATATATATATCCATCCTAAACTTCATTCCTCATCTTCGTTTTGGAAACCCCCCCAACATCCCTTCTCCCTCCTCCTCAGTTCGGGTGACACGGTGGCTCAGTGACTAGCACTGTTGCCCCACAGCAAGGAGGTCATTGGTTCAACACTGGCTGAGCTAACCGATACTCTCTGTGCAGAGTTTGCATGTTCTCCCCGTGTTTGCGTGGGTTTTCCCCAGGTACTCCATTTTCCTCCCACACTCAAAAACTATGCAACAAAAGTTAATGTCACAAGGTCTTACTACAAACTAGCGCAGTTAGCGGTCTATTTTGGGAAGCTATCGAGAACTACCTGATCTCATATCCCTCCTAATGCATATTGACCAGCCGGGAGCCTTGGGCTCATCTATCACTCTCACGGTTCTCTCCTGGGACAGCATGCCAAACTTGCTTAAATAGTCAAGCATTATCTAAGTGTGAATTCTTGAAATAAGGCAGGTGTAAAAACACCCTTAGTTTTTTTTTTTTACCCAGACATTTAAAAAGAACATGTGTTAGAGCAGTAATCGCAATATTGTTAAACCATGTTATTTTTATCCAATGTTATCATAACGTCAGAATCTTTTACCGGCCCATGTCTAGTCAAAAAACAGAAAACTGTCTGCTTGAGCTAATGCCAACCTTTTCTTTCTCTGTTTTCTGTGCTGCTGTAACACATAAAGAGGAGGAGAAAATGCTAGTGAGTCATGGACATTCTGTCATTCTTAAGGCTGATGCTGAAGTACAGAGAGATGATGATGTACAGTGGCTGTTTGGAGATACAAATGACCTGATTGCTAAAATGACTGGAAACACCAGAGAGATAACATATCCTGATGAGAGATTCAGAGACACACTGAAGATGGACGAGAAGACTGGATCTCTGACAATCAGTAACATCGGACCTGAACATGGTGGATTTTATAAACTGAAGATCATCAGCAGAGGAGAAGCCACATACAAGACATTCAACATTTGCTTTGAAGGTGAGTATCTCCAGTCTTTCAGTGCAGTGACTATCTCAGTTCTTCCTCCTGAAACTTTTTCTTTTTCTGTGATTTAATCGTCTCAAACTCTTTGATGTGCTCTGTCACTGCAGTATTTAGCATTTGTATATAATCATAATCTAATGGTTTTTAAACATGAAACATGTTAAAATACTAAAGATTCAGTTTCAGTTTTGGATTTTGTTTCCTCCAGCAGAATTTATATTCTGTTATATTGATCAGCGGCCTGTACCGTGAAGTCAGGTTAGCTGGCTAGCAAGTTAAATAAAATTTTAGCTTGCACCAATTCTGGGATTTAGGTACTGTATCATGAAGGCAGCTCAGCTTTAATCAATCTTTGTTGTCATGTTATCTTGCACTATATGGCTAATCTTCTACATGGCAGGATATGTTCTGCTTTAAAGATCACAAATCCAGATTTAACCAATCAACTGTGAGCAGTCAACTGTGACACATGTCTGATACAATAAAGCCACTCCTACTAATCTTCTTGCTCCAAATTGAAGGTCACTTTTAGAGATGAAATTGACTGATTTTAATGAGGATTATTCATTCATTCATTTTCTTTTTGGCTTAGTCCCTTTATTAATCTGGGGTCGCCACAGCGGAATGAACCGCCAACTTATCCAGCATATGTTTTATGCAGCGGATGCCCTACCAGCTGCAACCCATCATTGGGAAATAATGAGGATTACTATTTATTTTAATTATTTTAGATAATTCATAACTATTATATCTGTAATCCGGTAGACATTTGCAGTTTTGGTTTAATAACCAACAGATTCAATTTGATTTAAATTTTACAGTTTAAATGTGTGTAGCTGAGTCTTTGTATACCTATACAGTACTGATTATTAGCTATACTAACATCACATCTTCACTTACACTTATAAATCAAACTGTTTCCTTTTGGATCTTATCTTTTCATTACCAGCTCTTTTCATCTTGCTGTATAAATGTTTTTAATTTTGCATTTTTAACCATATTGTCTTTGCCTTTGAATGGTGCTTGCTCTCTTGCTAGATGTTAATCACATTATCTTTATGTTTTAAGGCACATGATTGGCTGTTTGCTACTAATGTCCTGCCTGCATGTGCATGCACATAAACTCAGGATCAAAACCTGAATTTACAGAGAAAGACGATGACCGCCGTCATGGTACCAGCAAAGCCTGATTGCTCTGGTTTGAGTTTGTCAACATGAAGCTAATCCTCTAATCCTGAGTTTGTTCAGCCACCATATGCACCTACACTCTGAGGAAAAAACATGTTGATCTGTAAGTGTTTAATTCCTCTCAGTCAAAACGCGGCAAACTGTTTGCTTGATCTAATGCCAACCTTTTCTTTCTCTGTTTTTTTTTTATTTGCTGCTGTCACACATGAAGAGATGTTTATTGTCGGGAAGATAGAAGGATCTGTCACACTAAAGCCTGATACTGAAATACAAAGAAATAATGAAATACAGTGGATGATTGGAGATCAAGACCGTCTGATTGCTAAAATGACCAGAGGAGCTAGAAAGATAACATACCACGAGGAGAGGATCAGAAACAGACTAGTGCTGGACGAGAGGACTGGATCTCTGACCATCAACAACATCACTATTGAAGACATAAAAAGATATAAGCTGAAGATCATCAGCAGCAGTGGAACCACTGTAAAGAAATTCAGTGTTCTTATTAAAGGTGAGTCATTTGTGTAACAGTTAATATAGTGTGGTAATGTAATTGTCATTCATTTTTTGTTTTCTTTGCTCCAGTCATGATTATAGTAAATTAACAGTACTTGACAGATTAAAAAGATAGTTCACCCAAAAGAGTTTCTTTCTTCTGTTTAACACAAGTGGAGATATTTTAAAGGAAGCCGGAAACCACTGACTTCCATAGTAATTGTTTTTCTTACTATGAATGTCAAGACTGACAGATTTTTAGCATACCTGTCAACCCTCCCATATTCTCCTGTATTTTACAGTTCTATCCCGCTATCATCCTGTAAAGGTATTTTCCCGTATTTCACCCGTATTTTCAGTCTTTCTCTGAAGGGTGGCAATAAACAATAAAGAGCTGATCCTCCCTACACGCAACCCATGTTGCCGAACCACCAGGGGCCGCCCTTTGCTCTTAAATGTGAGTCTGTTCTGTGCTTTCCTTTTATTTAGGCATTAAAACACTTTGAAATAAATATAAAAACGTCGGTATTCCCTTCCCTTTTCATTACAGGTGTTGTCACCCCTCCTATGCAATCCTCAAAACAGTCATATAGTGGTGCGTGACTGTCAGCTGGCTCACTCCATAGTGACTGCTTACCAAACAAATTCTGTACACTCAATTTGAAGCAAAGCAAAAGTCTGGGTTTTTGACTGCTTGTTTAAATGTACATAAACACATAATTATTAACAATAATATCTAAACATGTCGATCTTGGTGGGTTTTTTTTAAACACAACAAATTTAGTCCTAAATGAGCATAAAAAGTTAGGACAGCAATCGAACGCTTTCATTATAACGTTAGATGTGTGCATTTTTTAAGTGACAGCTCTATTCTTTAATGTAATCAAACGAAAAATGCTAATATATGAGATTCATTCGTTGCTGTTTAATCAGAATTTGTAAGTTTTACATAGAAGAAAAGATAAATGAGATTTGATAACTTAATTTTTATTTAATAAGCTAAACTGTTTGCTAATTTATTTGCTGCTAATGTATACTGTTTATTTTTTTCTTTTGTAAATAATAATAATAATAAAACATATTAATGACCATTTAACTGTTTATTTACTATAAAACAGCTCCAGATGATCCTTTATTATGGTGGCATATCCCTTATTTTCACATCCCAATGTTGACAGGTATGGTTTTTATCTTTAAAATATCTTCAAATGTGTATAACAGAAATAAGAAACTCCGAATGGTTTGGAACCACTTAAGGCAGGGTAAATAGTGAGTAAATTTTCACTTGTGGGTAAGTAAGAATAAAGTACATCCAGGCGGTTGTTATATCAGAATAAATCTTGGCAGCGCCAACGCAAGTGGAGCACATAGATGTATATTGCTTTAATGTTAACATATTGTTTTGTCTTAATATATTAGAGATTTGCCTCTACAGTTTGTTCTTATTTTCACATATGCATAATATTTCTGCCTCTTTGTGTCCATTGTAACTTTTTACTAAATCTCTTGTTATAATTTGTTTTTTACTGTTCTTCTGTGACGTGAAGGGGAGGTACAAACATACATGGAGGGAGATAGAGCTGTTCTACAGTGTGCTGCAGAGATACAGACTGATGAGATCGAATGGAAGTTTGAAAGTGAGGAGTCTCCCATAGCTGAAGTGAAAGGTGGACAGATCTTTCCATATAATGGTCCTAATAGGAGATTCAGAGACGGACTGGAGGTTGATGAAAGAACTGGATCACTGATCATCAAGAACATCAGACATGAGCATGAGGGCCTTTATCAACTAATGAAAAAGAGTTTTAGCACAGGAGACAGTGTCAAAGCATTCAATGTTATGGTCAGAGGTGAGTATTATAAGTCTTTAAGTGTTATGAAGTCTTCCTCATACATTGCTTTTCTCCAGTGAGACTGAATTGGTTTAAAAAAAAACACATCATTAATGTTTTCATATTCCAGTCATAATGAAACACTGCAGACACATGTGAAGTTTATTTATAAACTAATTTCGAGAGGATCACGTGATTATGATTGCTTGCAGCCGGCCCGCATTATTCAATTTATTATTCACCAATCAGATGATTCCTAAGCCACTATAAATACCCTAAGTTCCATATAACAGCCATCTTCGTTTTGAAGAATCCCCCATTCCACCCCTACACTGCAAAAAATGCTTTTCTTGCTTGGATTTTTTGTCTTGTTTCTAGTCTAAATATCTAACATTTCTTATATCAAGAAGCATTTTCTAGACAAGCAAAACAAATTGTCTTGTTTTGAGAAATAAAATGCCAATATTAAGTGAGTTTTTCCTTAAAACAAGTAAAATAATCTACCAATGGGGTAAGCAAATTAATCTTGTTTTTTCTTTTGACGTAGGATTATTTTGCTTACCCCATTGGCAGATTATTTTGGTTGTTTTACAGAAAAACTCACTTAATATTGGCATATTATTTCTCAAAACAAGACAGTATGTTTTGCTTGTCTAGAAAATTCTTTTTGATTTAGGAATTGTTAGATATTTAAACTAGAAACAAGACAAAAAATCTAAGTAAGAAAAGCATTTTTTGCAGTGAACTCCTCCTCCTTTCCTAGATGGGTGGCACAGTGGTCCAGTGGTTAGTACTGTTGCCTCACAGCAAGAAAGTCACTGGTTCTAGTACTTACCAAGCCAGCCAACTTTTCTGTGCAGTTTACACATTCTCCCCGTGCTCACGTGGGTTTCCCATGGGTTCCTCGGAAGTCTCCCACCATTCAAAATCATGCAACATAAGTTAATTGACTAATCCAAATCAGCACCACAGACATGCTCCTAGTAAGGCGTTATCTCTTAAGAACGATCACTATCTGTTCCATTAACTACTACAGCAGGGGAGTTCTTGAGATCTGCCTGAGCTCAAACTCCCCTTTTGCCTTGCAAACGGGAGGGAGTCACGGGCTCGAGATTCATATGAGCTTATGAGGCGTGGGCCCTTGATAATGTCTCTGGGCCCTCCTAATTGTATGGGCCCTTAGAATCTTAGAATCGTCTTGTATTTCTGAGAGTGTAGTGAACGCATAAGAATTGTCATCATCATTTACTCAAGTGCACGCCTCAAAATTTGTTTTTAGTTTTTTTATAGTCGTGTATATTCTCATCATTAAAATAAAATTTAGACCTTGGCACTAGCCGCTAGTCAGAAGTTAATATACAGTAAATGATGGAAACTGTTTAGAAATAGGTTGGAACAAAACTTTGCAGGACACCGGCCCTCCAGGACCGAGTGTGGACACCTCTGTCATATTACATTTTCTAATCAAATTTTAACAAATCAAATACTCTCTAGCATCCGACATATCCCACCCCCTTTAAGATGCTTTTATTCGATGTGCCTGAGCTCAACTGCTCTTTCTGTCAAGTGGTCGTGCCACACGGGGCCATGCATTTTAGAATTCTGAACATAGATTTCTATCAGGATACGCACACCGGCGGCACAAGTCGTCAGCTGTCCGTGGCACCAAGCTACAACTCAGGACACTGTTCATATTTCTGCCGTGCCATCTATAGTTTTATTTTAAACAACATTTGAATGTGTGCACCATCCCGGTGCATCCGGTGTGCGACCTCCTTCAGAGCTGAGATAAAACAAAACACTATTGGCTGTTTTTTTTTTTTTTACTGGGAGGAGCTACTCTGTTTAACCCTCTTTACATTTTTCAGTTGAGATTACGTCAAACATCGAAAAAAAAATGTATATTTTCGAAGCACTTCACATGACCTTTAAAGACTTTCAGATCTTTTCTTTTAAAATCCATCTTTGTTTCAGGTTGTTATGGAAATCGATTGAAGGATCCAGTGACACGACATGAAGTTGTATGAGAGAGAATGGGAAGGAGAAAGAGAGGATGAGTTCACTTTAATGAGAGAAGACATGCCCACCCACTAGTGTCAATCACTGTATCATCAATATTTAAAGGTGACATATAGTGAATTGATTCAATAAGTTAAATTATTCTCTGATATCTACATAGTAGTTTTGTGGCTTTGGTGAGTTCAAAAGTGGAAAAAATGTTTTATATACACATTTATTGACTCAAAACATATTCCTCCAATCAGAAGCTCCATATTTAATCGTTGTGATTATTAACGAGCTCTGCTCTGATGTTCTGCAGCTTAGAACCTGGACCGTTTTCAAAATAAAAGTTCCACACACATTATAAGCTTAATATAAGCTTACATAAACTTTAAAATTACGATAAAAGTCTGTGTTTTGGCTGCCAAAGTTCTTATGACTTGGCTGCTCAAGCAGGTCCAGCTAAAGAAGAACGTGACCTAAATTACATGCAAATGTTGCGGGTGTGCTAGCTAACTAATGGTCCCATGTGCAGCATAACAGTCTGTGTTTTGTTCTGATACAGGGTGTCCGTGGGGTCTTAAAAAGTATAAAAAGTTGATAAATCAATTATGAGAAAATAAGGCCCTTAAAAGGTATTAAAAAGACTTAATCAGGTTTTTACGAGGTCTTAAATTTTGTTCAAGCATTGTTCAAAGTGTTTGACCCCAAAAAAGCATAAATATATTTATTTTTCTCCTAATATTAACAATGGTGTGCTCGATCCACACAATTGGTCTAGCCATACGCATCTATCAGGATGATGTCACGTAATTCGCGATAAACGTGGGAAGGTGATGTGACGCTCTCCACATGTAGCGATTTCTTCCAAGCTTATCTGAGTTCTTTTGCATGGTTGTGGTACATTGATTTTACTAGTGTTTATTAACAGCTGTTTATTAGCAACTGTTTATTAAGGTAAAGGTTTGATACTGATTAGAACTTGTGGCGATGAGGTCTTAAAATATTCTGAATAAGTCTTTAAAAAGGCTTAAAAAGGTATTGAAATTACCTTTTCCTGCATATATCCTGTAATAGACCCGTTTTCACTGGGTTTTACACTCAGGAGATTTTCATGAAAACAAGGAAACTATTATGTTTGACGTTGTGGCAGTTTCCATGTACGAGCAATTATTATGTACGAGCAATTATAGCTATGGCTTAGGTGTATTCAGATTTTCTTTATATGGCACTTTTAAAGCTCCAGGTATGAACAGATAATAATTTTTCTGAATCTAGAATCCGTCCAGTGAAGTAAAAAATTTATCAGCCCTTAAACTCATGTGTAATAAGATTTTAGATGAAGATGGAAACGTGTTAATTAAAACACTTTCTGAATGTTACACATCATTCTGTATCTGTTACTCTGTTTTAGTTTGGTTCTCATAGCTTTGATTTTGTGTGAAAGTTAATCAGCTCACTTTTGTTTACGGTATTCTACTTTTCATTTGAGCTTCAAACGTGTTGCTGTTATACTT